TTTAAACGACACATTTATACCTACGCGATATAACCCAAAAACCTTTATTAGTAGTGATAATATTGGTCGCGAAAGCCTACGTGTTAAATCGTGTTTTCGTGGTCATGTTGTTACCGGTGGTGGTGTTGCTAATGATGCTGATGCTGCTGATGATGCTGATGCTGCTGATGCTGATGCAACTGATGTAGATGGCGATGCTGGTGTGATGGTGTTGTTGATGATGCTGCTGCTAATGTTGACGATTATGCCGCTGCTGCTGATGATGATGTTGTTGGTAAGAGCAATGTCTCCACGTGGCACGCGGGAGTCCGGGTTTCGGTGACCCCGTCTCTTCGCCCACGGTCGCTCCGAACCCCGAGTGACCCACCAGGACCCTGCCAACGATGATAAAGAGTCCCGTGCTGGCACGCGTGCGTGCGTGCGTGTGCGTGTTGTGTATGAATGAGTCGTGAGAATGTGTGACGGTTCGATTCCTGGTCCCAGTCCTGGGCCTCCCCCAAGGTCGACTCAGCCTCAAATGACTACCTGGTGCGCAGTGTATAAACATCGCCACTGGGGAGACAAAGGCGGCCGGGCGTGTTGTTGGCCACCCGCCCCCTCGTTGTGGCCGTGCTGTGAATGTGTGCACGGTATGAAGCGGCGACGCAGCGGTTAGCGCACGCCCGAGCGCCTTTGTCTCCCCAGTGGCGATGTTATCAGACCGCACCAGGTATTCGTTTAAGGCTGAGTCGACGTAGGGGAGGTTCAAAGACTCGCCAATTGTTGAACGTGAGCGGGTTCGTAGCGCTGTGCGCTAAGCACTACGCTACCGCTCCCCACGAAAACACACACACGTGTACACAAAACAGAAATATCCCCCTATCATCTTCATAGATGTTTAGGGCACGTACTGTCAGCGAGTACCTATAACTACCGGCACGTAACACGAATGAGTGTCCAGCACCACACCCGGCCGCCTTTGTCTCCCCTTTGCTGATGTTATCACATCGCACCATGTACTAATCTGAGGCTCAGTCGACCTCAGGGATGGCCAGTATCGGTTCAGATTCTCGTGACTGGTGTAGTCCATGAGTGGAAAATCGAACTCGTATCACCGGGTTCGTAGCGCAGTACACTAACCACCAATCCACCGCTCCCCGCAACAAAGACAAATATCCCCGTAGAGCCTGAACAGGCTGTTGCGGCAAGTGCTGTTAGCGAGGGCCTATTAAGGCCGGCATGGAGGGTGGTGGGTGGCCAGCACCACGCCCGACCGCCTTTGTCTTCCCGGCACGTAATGTTTACACACCGCACTAGGTACTCATTTGAGGCCGAGTCGACCTAGGAGAGGCTCACGACCGGTCCAAATAATAATAATCACTGTTGTTGGCCGTCAGCGGGAATCCAACTCGCGTCGCCGGGTTCGTAGCGCCGCGCGCTAACCGATGCGCCACCGCTCCGCGCAACAAACACACGCGCGTGCACACACACACACAGGGAGCTGGAAAGAAGGAAACTGCTTAATCACGGCGTGCCCTGTCAGGGTTAGGGGGGAGGGAGGTGAGGGAGGTGAGTTGGTGGGGGCTGTAATGAGAGTCTTTAATTAAGATCTCACGGGCCCGGCCGCGAGGAGAAGGCGGCTATTGTTGCGTGAGCGTGCAGCAGCCTCAGCAGCAGCAACAGCAGGTGAGACGCGGAGTCACGCACGCACACAGCCATCATCAGCACCACCACCATCAGCAGCAGCAGGTGAGACGCGGAGTCACGCACTCACACAGCCATCATCAGCACCACCATCATCATAAGCAGCAGTAACAGCAGCAACAGGTGCAGCAGAAACATCAGCAGCAGCAGCAGAAAGTGCAGCACAATCATCATCAGCAGCAGGAACAGCAGCAGCAGCGGATGAGGTACCAACAGCAGCATCTGCACAGCAATGGAGGTATCATCAGCGGCAACAGCAGACATATCATCAGCGGCAACAGCAGACATATCATCAGCGACATCATCACTGTCATCATAATCAGCAGCAGCTAGGGCAGCAGGAAGTATCGCCATCAAGAGTAGCAACAGTAACCATCGTCATCAGCAGCAGCAACACTCGCATATAGCGACACAGCAGCACTCCAGCCTCATCCACCGACATTATCTTCACGAGCCATCACTAATCCATCACCACCACCACCATCATTTGCTCGAGCGGGGAGAGGCAGCTAGACGTGAAGAGAGAGACGTGAAGACGCGCAACGATACACATACGCATCGAGACACGGAGACAGTCACAGAGAGGCAGAGACAGAGACACGGTGGGGGCGAGAGAGGCAGTGAGACGCAGAGACACGCAGAGCAAAAGACACAAAGGCAAAGATCCCCCGTGTAGCCTTTTAACAGACTGTTTGGGGCAAGTGCTGTTAGCGGGCAGCAGCACCTACGAAGGCCGGCAGTGTGGCACACGAGGGTAGTAGGTGGCCAGCACCACAAAGGCAAAGATCCCCCGTGTAGCCTTTTAACAGACTGTTTGGGGCAAGTGCTGTTAGCGAGCAGCAGCACCTACGAAGGCCGGCAGTGTGGCACACGGCGGGGGTGGCCACGTGGACGCACGCTCATTGTTTGACCCTCTCGTCATTTTGTGACGAGTTCCTTGACTTTAAGATTCACCGCACGGAGCACGGTACCCCACCCCCAAGTGGCTCGGGAGTAGACACCTGAGTGAGCCGGCACCCTTGAAACAAAGAGTTAAAATCAAGGTTTGGGCCGTCCGCGATAAAAAACTGGGTTCTCAAATGCTGAGGAGTTGAGGGTTTTAATCCCGGGGTCATCAGGGGGCTGCGTAAAAAAAAAATACATCAATCGTCGCGCGAGGGGTTTGTCTCTGGGTTTGTGTTCACTGAGTTTGCGGTAACATTTAGAGCTGACGATCAATGGGGGTTCGTCGTTACCGATGCTTCAGCGATTGATCGTTCAGCAATTTGTGGCCCTGAGGCACGTGTGGACTTTCCACGTTACTTAAGGCGGAAGACAGTTTTCCGAAAGGGTCATCACGGTTATTTTATTAAATCATACTGAATGCGCAACGTGAAAGGATAACTACCCAGCATACTGTGCATGTCATGATCACAGCACAGTGCTTAAATCGTTCCGTCTTATTGTCGTTAATTAGCAGAATCGCACTCAATTGACTAAATTTCAGCTGTGAGAAGTGAAAACAGACACAAGACAGATTTGCCTGTCATGTGACCAACATAAACTGTCATGTGACCAACATAAACTGTCATGTGACCAACATAAACTGTCATGTGACCAACATAAACTGTCATGTGACCAACATAAACTGTCATGTGACCAACATAAGCTACTCTCTGTGTGCCAGGGCGAGCGGGAAAGTACTCCCCAATACCCTGTGGACCAGAGGCCCGCTTGAAGGGATCTCAGAGGTGCTTCTGTGGCATCCGCTTCCGCGGGCCGTTCTGTAACGCGAGGTCTAGAGGACGGTCGATTTGTACTATATAACGTTGCGTTCAACTAGGGCCCGTATCTAACACACACACACTGAGAGAGAGAGAGAGGCTCTTTGTCTATTTACATGGGTAGTCCACCAGCAATCGGCTGAAGCAAGCCTCGACTGCTGATAATAAGTTGTGCTGATATTCTTCTTCTTGTCGTACGGCCGATGTAGATGCAGAGCAACGACTTACACTTTCACATTCAGGTGGTCAAGCGCAGATAACCGCGCGAGGAGTCAGCAGCGGAGTACCGTATCGCTGTGATGTCTCCTTCGTGTATGTGTGGACCGGGCCTCGCGTCGTCGTGCGTTGTACCGTCTGTCTCCTTCGTGACCGCAGCCGCGCAACGCTGCAGAGTTTTCCCACTTTTCATTTGCGCGTCAGGGGTTTCCCGCATCTGCTGCCACGGTTTTGTGAGAGCGGATGCGGTTTTGGGGTGGACCGTGAGCTTCGTGGAAGATCAAGCCCAGGCAGGGGACTTCTGCGTTGGATCTTTCACGACAAGGCGTTCGTTTGCGAGTTCTTTTGAACTCCATTCGGCTCTCCAGCCACCAGTGCTGATATTAGACCAATGCTACGTTAAAGATGCGCTCCCAGAAGACCGTGCGAGACTATAACATGGGGATGAGGTGTAAGTATCCACGTATTTGTTATCACTCACATGCCTAATGCCATCGCTCGAGTACCGTTCGTTATGTCGTGCATGTACCTGAAGGAGTGAGACGCAGTCAAGAATGGGGGGTGGGGTGGGGGAGAGTCAACTTTGAAGCCATCGCGCTGCAAGTGCAGCTTACTTCTGGATGCAAAAATAAGGGCGGCGCGTGCGTCCCAGTGTTCGGGGCGAGCTTGCACGGGGAATGGCTGTGGGTAGGGAGCAGGTTGAGATGTGAGGGGCGAGGGTTGGGGGGGAGTAGGAGGGGGGGCTCGCTGATTACGTCTCTCCACATTGTTCGCTCCATTTGCCAAGCAACAATGGGAGGGCACGTGATCTCGCGAGAGCGCGCGCATCTTTGCCACGCGACTCCTGATAAAATCATCACGATCATCATCACGATAACCATCATCATCATGATCGTGCATGCAATCATCGCCATCAATGCAATCAATCGTCGCGATCAATGCGATGATCATCATCAATGCGATCAGCAGGTGGCGTTGACACTGAAGATGATGGTAATGATGATGGTGATGATGACACTCATGGTGGTGGTGGTGATGATGGTAACAATGACGGTGGCGACCACAATGATGACCAGGTTGATGATGACGGTGGTGATAGTGGTGGTGGTGGTGATAATGGTGATAGTGAAGATGTTGACCATAGTGATGGAGACGATGATGATGATGATGATTGTTGCAACTGAGACGCGCACTGCCTCTGCTACAATCGCAGAGTCCCTCATAGCGACGGCTGGATACGTGGGTGGTGGGGGAGAATGGGAGGGAGAGGGTAGAGAGAGAGGAGAGAGAAATGAGAGAGGGTGGGAGAGAGAGGAGAGGCGGAGAGGAAACAGGGGGGGAGTGGTGGGGAGAGGCGGGGAGCGCAGAGACGCACGCGATGGACACGCCGAGAGACCCAAACAGATTGTAACATCATCATCCATCAGCAGCAGCATCATCATCCGTCGTCATTCATCGCCATCATCATCACGCGTGGACGCTCGCTCGTGCGTGATTCAAACCAACAGCAGCTGCAGCAGCATCTGCAGCTGCAGCAGCAGCAACAGCAGCAACAGCAGCAGCAACAGCAGCAACAGCAGCAGCAACAGCAGCAACAGCAGCAGCAACAGCAGCAACAGCAGCAGTGGTGGCGGATGTTTGGAGTGAATGGATTGTCACGCCACGGACAGGTGGATGTTAAACGGTCGCCTCGCCGTTGTTATCCTCCATTGTCATTGTTGTTGTTATTTATGTCATCGTTGTTGTTGTTGTTGATGTCTGGGGCCTCGCGGAGCAAGGAGCGAGACTCCTCTGGCTGCGGCTGCGGGGAGGAGGGCGAGGAGGAGGAGGCGGTGATGCTACGACGAACCTGGTCCAGCATCTCCATCCACCCTCATCTGCCTACAGGCTGTCCATACAGTCTATCTGTACTGTCTATCCCATATAGGATATCCATACAGTCTATCTGTACTGTCTATCCCATATAGGATATCCATACAGTCTATCTGTACTGTCTATCCCATATAGGATATCCATACAGTCTATCTGTACTGTCTATCCCATATAGGATATCCATACAGTCTATCTGTACTGTCTATCCCATATAGGATATCCATACAGTCTATCTGTACTGTCTATCCCATATATGATATCTATACAGTCCATCTGTACTGTCTATCACATATAGGATATCCATACAGTCTATCTGTACTGTCTATCCCATATAGGATATCTATACAGTCCATCTGTACTGTCTATCACATATAGGATATCCATACAGTCTATCTGTACTGTCTATCCCATATAGGATATCCATACAGTCTACCTGTACTGTCTATCACATATAGGATATCCATACAGTCTATCTGTACTGTCTATCCCATATAGGCTATCCATACAGTCTATCTGTACTGTCTATCCCATATAGGCGCTCTCGCTCCTTACTCTCCCCACATATCCTGAGCCCCCCACCACCCAAACGTCTCTCTCGGCTCTCCGTCTCCCCTCTCCCCCCCCGTCTCCCACTCTCTCTCTCGCTCCACTCTTCCTTATCTCTTCCCATATTCACCCCTCCAATCTCCTCCCCCACCTCTCTCATTCTCCCCACTCTCCTCCCCCCTCTCTCTACCCATCGCTTTAACCATTCTCTCTCTATCGGTCTCTCCTCTTCTCTCCCCCACTCATCCTCTCCCCCAGTGTCTCTCTCGTTTCCCCACTCTGACTACTCTCTGCCGACTCTCTCCTACGGCCTCCTGTTCTCTCCATCTCCCTCATCATTGGTGTCTCGCACCTCCAATTTGCGCAGTTGGCTACGTACGGCGCGAAAGAAGTTCCACGCACATACACCTCTCCCATCCATCTCCATCCTCCACTCTCCATCCTCCTCTCCCCCCCCCCCCCGCGTCACGATGTCTCGCCGACTCCGCGTGCTGCTCGTGCTTCTCGTGCTACTCGCCACGTGCGCGCTGCACCTCCTCCTGCACTTCACGGCTCCCGTCGAGAGCGTCTGGGACAAGGCGACGGGAGACTGTCCCTGCACCCAGCAGCAGCGGAATCGATACGATCAGCAGAACCAGCGGCAGCGTAATCAACATCGCCATCAGCAGCAGCAGCAGCAGGACTATGACCGCGATCAGAAACAAGGGCTCCGCGTCATCGCCGACCGCGAGGTCAAATTCGGAGACGCGAAGTCACATCGAGTTGCCTCCACCTCGTCGTCTGGTCCTCCCCCATCATCATTGTCGTTGTCGCCACCACCGCCATCATCGTCGTCCTCAACTCTGCTGGAGGAGCTGTTCAGACATCCCCTGTACGGGGGCCCTACGCGGGAGGGGAGCAAGGGCGACGTTGATGATGGTGATGATGATGGTGATGATGAAGATGGGGATGATGAACTTCTCTTGAGTCCAGCGTCTGAGCCGCTTGACTCCGGAGAGCAGCGAGAAGAAGCGTGGTGAGGAGACAGTGCGCGTGTGGCCAACACCCGGTGACGAGTGTCTGAATCGGTCCTGGGCCTCCCCTGGGTCGACTCGGCCTCAAATGAGTACCGGTTTGTAATCATCGGACGTGGTGCCTCGTGCACCGTAGCGGCTTTCACAGGTGGTGCTGCTCGCCAACAGCTCTTGCCCCAACAGTCTGTCAAGGCTATGCGGGGGATCTTTATCTTTGTGTTGTCGCGGGGAGCGGTGGCGCAGTGGTTAGCGCTCACGGCCACCAACGCAAGTGGCGAATATCTGAACCGGTCCTGGGCCTCCCCTAGGTTGACTCAGCCTCAAAATGCGCACCTGGTGTTGGTCTACCGGAACCCTCGCGTGCCGTGCCCACCTTAGTACTTGCTCGCTAACAGCACTTGTCCCAACAGTCTGTTATGGGATATATGGGGGAACTTTGTATGCATGCAAGTTTGTGTACATATATGTGTGTATGTGAAGGTTTTTACGTGCAATGTGTGTACACTGTATGCAGAGGTCGCCAAAAGCTGTGTGGAAGATGATAATGGCAATGACGAAGCTGCTTCTAATAATGATGATGTTGTTAATGATGCAACTGAAGATGATGTGTCGGCTACTGCTAATGATGCTGCTGATGCTGCTGCTACTGCTGATGATAATGCTGCTGCTGCTACTGCTGATAATGCTGCTGCTACTGATGCTGCTGCTGATGATGATACTGCTGCTGCTGCTCATGATGCTGATGAGAATGCTGTTGATGATGATGCTGCTGATTATGATGCTAATGATGCTACTGCTGATGCTGCTGCTTCTGCTGATGACGCTTCTGCTGATTATGCTTCTGCTCATGATGCTGATGAGTATGTTGTTGTTGATGATGATGATGCTGCTGATTATGATGCTTCTGCTGATGATGCTTCTGCTGATGATGCTTCTGCTCATGATGCTGATGATAATGCTGTTGATGATGATGATGCTACTGCTCATGATGCTGATGAGAATACTGTTGTTGATGATGATGATGATGCTGCTGCTGATTATGATGCTAATGATGCTACTGCTGATGCTGCTTCATCTGCTGATGACGTTTCTGCTGATGATGCTTGTGCTCATGATGCTGATGATAATGCTGTTGATGATGATGCTGCTGATTATGATGCTAATGATGCTGCTGCTTCTGCTGATGCTGCTTCTGCTGATGCTGCTTCTGCTGATGACGCAGGAGGGCTGATGGGGAGGAGGCCCCGGCGTGGCTGCGCTTCCACCGCGGCATCTCGCGGCGTGCGCTCTACCCCCGCGCATCGCCCACGCTGCCTGAGCTGCTGCGCGACCTCGCCCAGCAGAGACTCGTGAGCGCCGGTACATGCCTGCTATGGGTCGTGGTAATTAGTGGTGCCTGCTATGGGTCGTGGTAATTAGTGGTGCCTGCTATGGGTCGTGGTAATTAGTGGTGCCTGCTATGGGTCGTCTTAATTAGTGGTGCCTGCTATGGGTCGCGGTAGTTAGTGGTGCCTGCTATGGGTCGCGATAATTAGTGGTGCCTGCTATGGGTCGTCTTAATTAGTGGTGCCTGCTATGGGTCGCGGTAATTAGTGGTGCCTGCTATGGGTCGTGGTAATTAGTGGTGCCTGCTATGGGTCGTGGTAATTAGTGGTGCCTGCTATGGGTCGTCTTAATTAGTGGTGCCTGCTATGGATCGTGGTAATTAGTGGTGCCTGCTATGGGTGGTGCCTGCTGTGAGTGGTGTCTGCTATGAGTGCCATCTGCTATGAGTGCCATCTGCTATGAGTGGTGGCTATGGGTGCCTTCTGCTGTGAGTGACGGCTGCTATGAACGATGACTGCTCATGGCGATCAGTGGTGGCTGTTAGTGATGTCTGCTATGGGTGATAGCTAGCGGCAGGGTACCAACCTCATCCAGAGCTGTCCAGGGCTCAGCTCCAGAAAGCACACCTGTATTTTTCCTGGTGTGACGTCAACGGGCGATGCCTGATGGCTTCGTGTGTGATGCCTGCAGGACACATATATATATCCAACTGAATATTGTCCGGCTGGCTGGTAAACTGGAGTAGGTATACTATATTAGTTGTGCCGTGCCAGGACAGACCGAATTAAGCCCTGGCGATGCCTATGAGTGGTGTCTGCTACGTGAATTCAGTCAACTCCGCGCTTTTCCGTTCAGATATCACTCGCCACTGATGTTATCCAGGGTCGGGAATCGAACTGAGGTCTTCGGGTTCGTAGCGCAGCGCGAGAATCACTGCACAACCGTTCCCCACGCACATACACACACATACACATGTACACACACACACTCACACACATGTACACACACACACCCGCACACTCACATGTACACACACACCCACACACTCACATGTACACACACACATGTACACACACACATGTACACACACTCACATGTGCACACACACATGTACACACACACACCCACACACTCACATGTACACACACACATGTACACACACATGTACACACACACACACATGTACACACACACACACGTGTGCGTGCACCCCCGCCCGCAGTGATGAAGCCGGGCGGCACGCAGCTGAAGCTCGTGATGTCGCTGGAGAATGGGGGACTGGCCCTGCTCAAGCCCATGAAGTAAGACTTGAGTCGGCACACCGCATCTAGTACGGTGGCGAGATGTTCACCATCTCTCCCGGTGTACAGGAGGGCGCGTGGGTTGGCTCCCGACCCTGACGCCCTGCTGTATTTGTGGAGTTTGCGGTGTCTCTCTCTCTCTCCCCGTGGTCGCGTGGATGTTTCTCCGGGTCCTTCGGTTTTTTTGTCCCCTCCACATTTAGAATGAACGTCACGTGGCGTTTGGCGTCTTTGGCTGCTGTACATTTCCACGTGGTGACGAGCCACTTCGTTGAGCTGTCATTGTGACCGCTCGGGTCGCTTTAGTTTAGTTTCTAGTTTACATATCGGTTGACTCAGCCCATGATCATCATCATCAGCATACGCGTCATTATGATCATCATGTCGTCATCATCATTAACGTCACCGTGAACAATGGTCATTATCGATTGTCATGGCCATAATCATTAATGTCACCATAATTGTTATTATTGTTAATTTAATCATCGATTTCATGGCCATCATCATCCATCAGTGTCATCATCATCATCCATCAGTATCATCATTGTCAGTAATGGCATGAGAATCAATGTCATGGTCATGATCATCATCATCATCATCCGTTTCATCATCATCAATGCCATGAGCATCATGATGGTCTCAGATGATGATAAGACAATCGATTATGAAAATAATGACACTTATAACATCGATGACGATGATAAGCGTTGATGATGACCACCACCACCACCATCATCACCATCACCACCACCATCATCACCATCACCACTACCTACACCACCACCATCATCACCATCACCACCACCATCATCACCATCACCACCACCACCATCATCACCATCACTACCACCACTACCTACACCACCACCACCATCATCACCATCACCACCACCACCCACCACCCACCACCCACCACCACCCACCACCCACCACCATCATCACCATCACCACCACTATCATCACCACCCACCACCACCCACCACCACCACCACATTGTGTGTCGCCAGACAGAATCGGGACCAGGAGACCTCCCCGGATTTTTTTTACTTCTCCGACTTTGAGCGACACAACGCAGAGATCGCAGCCTTCCACCTGGACAGGTGAGGGCGTGGGGGTGGCTGTATATGCACACACATACAAATACAAACATCCCCCGTATAGCCTTCAACAGACTGTTGGGGCAAGTGCTATTCGCAAGCACGGCACACGAGGGGGTGGGTGGCCGGCAGCGCGCCCGGTCGCCTTTGTCTCCCGAGTGGCAGTGATTACTACGCACCGCACCAGGTACTCATTTGAGGCTGAGTCCACCTAGGAGAGGCCCGGGACCGGTTCAGATAATCGTCACTTGGTGGTGGCCGTGAGCGGGAATTGAATTCGGGTCGCCGGGTTTGTGGCGCAGTGCAGCGCTAACCGCTGCACCACCGCTCTCCCCTGACACACACACACACACGTGCTCACCACGCACAACGTGTGTATACATATAAAAATATAAAGATCCCCCGTATAGCCTTAACAGACTGTAGGGGCAAGTGCTGTTAGCGAGCACCTATGAAGGCCGGAACGGTACACGAGGGGGTGGGTGGCCAGCACCACGCCCGAACGCCTTTGTCTCCCCAGTGGCGATGTTTACACACCGCACCAGGTACTCATTTGAGGCTGAGTCCACCTAGGGGAGGCCCGAGACCGGTTCAGATAATCGTCGCTGATGTTGGCCGTGAGTGGGAATCGAACCCGGAATGCCGGATTGATAGCGCAGCGCGCTAACCGCTACACCACCGCTTCCCAGACACATACACACACTAATATACACACTTATATACACACATATACACACATACCCACACACACAGGCACACGGCGAGCAACACACGTGATGGATGATGAGGATGCAAGGTTCACGGACTGGCACAGGCTCTGCCAATTTCCTCTAATCTCCTGCCAAGACAACGGTCACATTCCACCCACACACAGAGCCCAATCACGACCATTATTATTCCACCTCTAGGGAAGGGAGAGAGGGCTCGGGTGGTCTCAGACGAGGTGTGAGTGTGTGTGTGTTACAACAATATTAGATCTCTGCTGCTGCGGGTGAGCGCACTGCGCTGCCAATCCGGCGATCCCAGTTCGATTCCCGCTCACGGCCACCAACACCGAGTGACGATTATGTGAACCAGCTCCTGGGCCTCCCCTAGGTCGACTCAGCCTCAGTGGAGCACCCGGGTGCGATGTGAGGACCATCGCGACTCGCGGAAGACAAAGGCGGCCGTGCGTGGTGCTGGCCACCCCCCACCGCCTCGTGTGCCGTGCCGGCCTTGATAGGAGCTCGCGAGCAGCACTTGCCCCAACAGTCTGTTAAGGCTACACGGGGGATCTTTGTCTTTGATGTCTGCTGCTGCTGCCTGAGCTGAGCTTAGACAATGAATACCAGCTTTGCTGAAGATGAGGCTGATTGGCCCTTTGAAGTTTATGGAGAGGACGGGAAGGACTGAATTATTTCGGCCGGCTGGATTTAGTCACAAACCAGTGGAAACGTGACTTTAATTTGTATAGTCAAAAAAGAGAATTCATTTTTACCGCTGTACAATGGCAATCAGCATGCACACAGACACATGTACACAACAAAGATCCCCCGTATAGCCTTCAAACAGACTGTTGGGGCAAGTGCTGTTAGCGAGCAGCACCTATGAAGGGCGGCACGGCACACCATGGGGTGTCGGGGTCAAAACCACGCCCGGTCGCCTTTGTCTCCCCAGTGGCGATGTTTACACACCGCACCAGGTACTCATTTAAGGCTGAGTCGACCTAGGGGAGGCCCGGGACCGGTTCAGATAATCGTCACTGGTGGTGTTGACCGTGAGCGGGAATCGAACCCGGGATGCCATGTTCGTGGCGCAGCGTAGCGCTAACCGCTACACCACCGTTCCCCACACACACGCGCACGCAGACACACATAGACACACACACGCGCAGACACACCAGACACACACACGCGCAGACACACCAGACACACACACACACGTGCAGACACACACAGACACACAGACACACACACACACACACGTGCACACACACCAGACACACACACACGTGCAGACACACATTCACACCCCACAGACACACATTCACACCACACAGACACACACAGACACACAGACATACACACGCGCAGACACACCAGACACACAGACATACACACACAGACACACAGACATACACACGTGCAGAAGACACCAGACACACACACACACACGTGCAGACACACACACAGACACACACGCGCGCAGACACACATTCACACCACACAGACACACACACAGACACACACGCGCGCAGACACACACAGACACACAGACACACACACGCGCAGACACACACAGACACACAGACATACACACACAGACACACACACGCGCAGACACACCAGACACAGACATACACACACAGACAAACAGACATACACACACAGACACACACATTCACACCACACAGACACACACAGACACACACGCGCGCAGACACACACAGACAGACACACACAGGCACACATACATACACACACAGACACACACACGCGCAGACACACCAGACACACACACGTGCAGATACACACAGACACACACGCGCGCAGAAACACATTCACACCACACAAACACACACGCGCGCAGACACACCAGACACACACACACACACACGTGCAGACACACACAGACACACACGCGCGCAGACACACATTCACACCACACAGACACACACAGACACGTGCAGACACACACAGACACACACGCGCAGACACACATTCACACCACACAGACACACACAGACACACAGACATACACACACAGACACACACACGCGCAGACACACCAGACACACACACACGTGCAGACACACACAGACACACACGCGCGCAGACACACATTCACACCACACAGACACACACAGACACACAGACATACACACACAGACACACAGACACACACACGCGCAGACACACATGCGCGCAGACACACACAGACATACACAGACACACATTCACACCACACAGACACACACAGACACACAGACATACACACACAGACACAGACATACACACACAGACACACACATTCACGCCACACAGACACACACAGACACACACACGCGCGCAGACACACACAGACACACGCCCAGAGTAAAGAGACGCGGATGTGTTTGACCACGTTGACAATGAATAACAATTTTAATCTTTCGGCCGTCGTCCCCAAATGTTTCGCCACAGCATGTTGTCGAAGCGGCAAACCCCCCCGGGCTGGTCCAGCGTGACCCGAGCCTCTCTGTTCAAACATCGACGCCGCTGCCGCTGGGAGCAACCGCGGCGTCCAGAGTGAATTACAATCACAACACTCTTTGGTACTTTCGGTAAAGTCGCGTAAGGTAGAAAATGAAATAAATCACGACGTTTCGATTGCAACACGAGCAATCATCGTCATCAGGTGGGAAAAAAAACACAGCAAGAAACATTTTTTTTTTGCCGAAGAAGTTTTTTTTGTTTGTTGCTGAAGCAAAAATGTGCCCTTCTGTGCTCGGCGACGTCACGGTCGCCGAGCACAGAAGGGGGCGGGCCCAATAGCTCGCAGAATGCCAGGCGGTCAGCAACAAGCGGCACTTTTGAAGCGGCGAGAGACGCGCTCGAGCCGGGGGGTTGTGTCCACCCCGTGTGCCCCCCCCTCCCCGCCCGCCCCGCCCAGGATCCTGGACTTTCGCCGCGTTCCGCCCGTCTCTGGGAGGCTCCTCAACCTCACGCGGGAAGTCCGCGACATCAGCAAGGACAAGAAGCTCCTCAAGACGTTCTTCATCTCTCCAGGTGCTCGGCGATTCTCGCTGGAGGTGACCCCCCTCCCCCCCCCCGACTTCCGATCCTCGCTCACGGCCACCACCGGTGACTTTTGTCTGAACGGGTTCTGGGCCGATTCCCCTAGGCTCGAATGTTCACCCGGTGCGCGGCGTGTAGTAAACATCGCCACTGGGGAGACAAAGGCGGCCCTGGCGTGGTGGTGGCCACCCACTTCCCTCGTGTGCCACGCCGGCCTTCATCGGTGCCGCTCGCGAACAGCACTTGCCCCGACAGGCTGTGAAGGCTATACGGGGGATCTTTGTGTCTTGTCAGCGCCGGGTTGGTAGCGCAGTACGCTAACTGCTACACCACCGCTCCCCACGCGTGGACACAAATACTAAGACCCCCCCCCCCCCATATAGCCTCGACATACTTTTAGGGCAAGTGCTGTTAGTAAGCACCTATGAAGGCCAACACGGCACACGAGGGGGTAGGTGGCCAGCATCACGCCCGGCTGCCTTTGTCTCCCCACTGGCAATGTTTACACATCGCACCAGGCACTCATTTGAGGCTGAGTAGACCTAGATGATGCCCAGGACCGGTTCAGTTAATCGTCACATGTGGAGGCCGTGAGCGGGAATCGAACTCGGGGTTCGTAGTGCAGCGCGCTAACCGTTACACGCCCTCTCATACACACACGTACAAACACGCACGCACGTATGTCTAACCACAGCGTCGAACCCACGCCCCGTGTCGTTCTCTCCAAAGCCAACAACGTGTGCTTCTACGGCGAGTGCTCGTACTACTGCTCCACGGAGCACGCGCTGTGCGGGCGACCCGACCACCTGGAGGCCTCTCTGGCCGCCTTCCTGCCCGACACGGCCGAGGCGCCGCGCAAGTCCTGGCGCAACCCGTGGCGTCGGTCGTACAACAAGCGGCGCAAGGCCGAGTGAGTGCGGTGAGAGAGAGGGGCCGAGTGAGTGCGGTGAGAGAGAGGGGCCGAGTGAGTGCGGTGAGAGAGAGGGGCCGAGTGAGTGCGGTGAGAGAGAGGGGCCGAGTGAGTGCGGTGAGAGAGAGAGGCCGAGTGAGTTGCGGTGAGAGAGAGGCCGAGTGAGTGCGGTGAGAGAGAGGCCGAGTGAGTGCGGTGAGAGAGAGGGGGGCCGAGTGAGTGCGGTGAGAGAGAGAGGCCGAGTGAGTTGCGGTGAGAGAGAGGCCGAGTGAGTGCGGTGAGTGAGAGGCCGAGTGAGTTGCGGTGAGAGAGGGCCGAGTGAGTGCGGTGAGAGAGAGGCCGAGTGAGTGCGGTGAGTGAGAGGCCGAGTGAGTTGCGGTGAGAGAGAGAGGCCGAGTGAGTTGCGGTGAGAGAGAGGCCGAGTGAGTGCGGTGAGAGAGAGGGGCCGAGTGAGTGCGGTGAGAGAGAGGCCGAGTGAGTGCGGTGAGAGAGAGAGGCCGAGTGAGTGCGGTGAGAGAGAGGGGCCGAGTGAGTTGCGGTGAGAGAGGGGCCGAGTGAGTTGCGGTGAGAGAGAGGCCGAGTGAGTTGCGGTGAGAGAGAGGGGCCGAGTGAGTTGCGGTGAGAGAGAGGCCGAGTGAGTGCGGTGAGAGAGAGGCCGAGTGAGTGCGGTGAGAGAGAGGCCGAGTGAGTGCGGTGAGAGGGAGGCCGATTGAGTGCGGTGAGAGAGAGGCCGAGTGAGTGTGGTGAGAGAGAGGCCGAGTGAGTGCGGTGAGAGAGGGGCCGAGTGAGTTGCGGTGAGAGAGAGGCCGAGTGAGTGTGGTGAGAGAGAGGCCGAGTGAGTGTGGTGAGAGAGAGGCCGAGTGAGTGCGGTGAGAGAGAGAGGGCCGAGTGAGTGTGGTGAGAGAGAGGCCGAGTGAGTGCGGTGACAGAGAGGGGCCGAGTGAGTGCGGTGAGAGAGAGGCCGAGTGAGTGCGGTGAGAGGGAGGCCGAGTGAGTGCGGTGAGAGAGAGGCCGAGTGAGTGCGGTGAGAGAGAGGCCGAGTGAGTGTGGTGAGAGAGGGGCCGAGAGAGTGCGGTGAGAGAGAGGCCGAGTGAGTGCGGTGAGAGAGGGGCCGAGTGAGTGCGGTGAGAGAGAGGGGCCGAGTGAGTGCGGTGAGAGAGGGGCCGAGTGAGTGTGGTGAGTGAGAGGCCGAGTGAGTGCGGTGAGAGAGAGGGGCCGAGTGAGTGCGGTGAGAGAGGGGCCGAGTGAGTGCGGTGAGAGAGAGGGGCCGAGTGAGTGCGGTGAGAGAGGGGCCGAGTGAGTGCGGTGAGAGAGAGGCCGAGTGAGTGCGGTGAGAGAGAGGCCGAGTGAGTGCGGTGAGAGAGAGGCCGAGTGAGTGCGGTGAGAGAGGGGCCGAGTGAGTGTGGTGAGAGAGAGGCCGAGTGAGTGCGGTGAGAGAGAGGGGCCGAGTGAGTGCGGTGAGAGAGGGGCCGAGTGAGTGCGGTGAGAGAGAGGGGCCGAGTGAGTGCGGTGAGAGAGGGGCCGAGTGAGTGCGGTGAGAGAGAGGCCGAGTGAGTGCGGTGAGAGAGAGAGGCCGAGTGAGTGCGGTGAGAGAGAGGCCGAGTGAGTGCGGTGAGAGAGAGGGGCCGAGTGAGTGCGGTGAGAGAGGGGCCGAGTGAGTGCGGTGAGAGAGAGGGCCGAGTGAGTGCGGTGAGAGAGAGGGGCCGAGTGAGTGTGGTGAGAGAGGGGCCGAGTGAGTGCGGTGACAGAGAGGGGCCGAGTGAGTGCGGTGAGAGAGAGGGGCCGAGTGAGTGCGGTGAGAGAGGGGCCGAGTGAGTGCGGTGAGAGAGAGAGGGCCGAGTGAGTGTGGTGAGAGAGGGGCCGAGAGAGTGCGGTGAGAGAGAGAGGCCGAGTGAGTGCGGTGAGAGAGAGGGGCCGAGTGAGTGCGGTGAGAGAGAGGGGCCGAGTGAGTGCGGTGAGAGAGAGGGGCCGAGATAGTGCGGTGAGAGAGAGGCCGAGTGATTGCGCCGATGAGAGGAGACGGTAGTGGCCGCACAGACGGACCACTTGGACAAAGTAGACACTTTTGTCAATGAATGGGCCCGAAGATTTTAAAGCTTTAAAATTATTTTTGTTATAGAAATATTTATTTTTTAAAACATATATCTGTTTTATATATTACACAAGGCCTTACAATTATACCCAAGTTTTGGCTAGCTGGCTGAATTCCTGGCTGCAGATTATCTGAACCAGTCCTGCCACCCGGTCGACTCAGCATCAAATGAGTACCTGGTGCGGTGTGTAAACATCGCCACTAGGGAGACAAAGGGGGCCGGGCGTGGTGCTGGCCACCCACCCCCTCGTGTGCCGTGCCGGCCTTCATAGACGCCACTCGCGAGCAGCACTTGGCCCAACAATGTGTACAAGGCTACGCGGGGGATCTTTGCCTTTGCGTGGTGTGGTCATGTGTGGCGGGTGGCGGTGGCGGCTCAGCTGGGAGGTTGACCCTGGATACTGCGACGACGTGAAGCGGACGCCGCCGTACAACTCCGGCACGCGGCTCCTGGACGTCGTTGACATGAGCATCTTCGACTTCCTCACAGGCAAGGCCTGCCTAGGCCTCCCCAGTGCCCAATTATCCCCGGAGCAAAAGTAGCGACATAATGCTACGGGCCCCGCACTTTCAAGGGCCCCGTGGTAAACGCTTTCAAGCTATCAATTCCGGCTCAGTGATTCTGCACTTGCTCTATGACTATAGTGCTATACCGCCTTCAATTTTTACGAACGACTAGGGTGTTTAAGGTTAGCAATTTGTATTACCTGGCTGCAAAGCAAATTAAAAATACAATTACTTTACTATGCAAGTTAAAAGATTTGCGTTTTAATATTTATCTGTTTTTTCTTTAAATTGGCCCCCCTTTATAACATGGGCTACAGGCCCCGCGCTAGCTTAATCCGGCCCTGGGCCTCCCCTCTAAGCCCAGTGTCATTCACTGCAAGGCCCGCAGGCCACTGGTGGCCTTTGAAGCGGCTTTGACGCACCCCATCGTGCTGCTGTCAAACACCGATGGTTTCAAACGCGTGGCGGCCCTTACGCTGATGTCTTATCGGCGAAGGTGCCCCCCCACCTCTGAAAATTAGTTAAGAACGCTGCTCTAGCCCTAGCACTGTGACTCGCCTGGGCCACATAGCTGGAAGCAGCCCCTACATCCACCCGAACACCATACCTATAACCCTAGCCTAACTCTACACCGGTTGTTCTCAATATTTTGGATGGGGGGGCAACCCCCCCATTAAGACCACTTCTGTCCTCCCCCCCCCCCACCTCCTCCACCTCCCCTGTGCCATAAACACAACGATGGTTGCTCAGGCCACAACACAAGGAATTGATCTGTCTATGACTCCACGCAATGGGGCGTTTAGCCGTGCATTCACCGCAACGCGGCTGGCACCGATGGATCCGTGCACATACGCAGTTTCTCCTGCACGGTGTCCATGCCCACAGCCTGCGCCTTTCCCCCCCAATAAATAGGCTTCGTGTCGCCCAAATGGTGATGCCTCCACGGGTAAGAGACCTGCGGCTCTCGACCGAGCCCAGGAGCACCACGAGGTCTCGTTCTTAACCCGAGCCCTACCACGAGCCTTGAACCCCAACACGATATACCTCTAAACCCCCGCCATCACCTTGTGCGTAACCCTAACTGATGCAACCACGGGCCTACGCCTTCAGCTAGCCCGAATCGTCATCACAATGACACCCATAGCTCAAGCTCGAGCCGTACATAAACCCAAGAACTATCCTCCCTGTTGTCCTCCCCCCTCCCCACCCCGCACCTCCGATTAGCACGGTTGGCTACGTACGGCGCGACAGAAGAAGGGGCAGAGGTTCGCTTCGTCCATCACATTCGGTATCGCGGGTGCATATAATGAATGTTTTTTTAATCTTAATTGTAAACTACTGAAAATAAATTCATAAAGGTTGCCAGTTTGGGCGGGGCATTGCCCCCCACCCCGTGCCCCCCCCCCCCTACTAAGCGTGGCCCTGTCCCTAAACCCAAATCTTAATACTCGCCCTGTTGCTGTCCAACGCCAGTATCACACAGGCTCGCATGTGGAGACGTCACCCGGGGGTGATCGTTTAGGGCAGGGGTGGGGAACGTCCGGCCTGCGGAATCATTTGGCAACCGCAGGCGGGACTCGAAATTCAATAAATCTAGGAGCAAATCTGGAAAAGCAGTTGCGAGTAGCAGCAACATCATAAATACCAGCTAACATCATCAATACCAGCTAATATCATCAATACCAGCTAACATCATCAATACCAGCTAACATCATCAATACCAGCTAACATCATCAACACCAGCTAACATCATCAATACCAGCTAACATCGTCAATACAAGCTAACATCGTCAATACCAGCTAAAATCGTCAATACAAGCTAACATCAATACCAGCTAACATCATCAATACCAGCTAATATCATCAATACCAGCTAACATCATCAATACCAGCTAACATCATCAACACCAGCTAACATCATCAATACCAGCTAACATCATCAACATCATCAACACCAGCTAACATCATCAATACCAGCTAACATCATCAATACCAGCTAACATCATCAACACCAGCTAACATCATCAATACCAGCTAACATCATCAATACCAGCTAATATCATCAATACCAGCTAACATCATCAACACCAGCTAACATCGTCAACACCAGCTACATCATCAATACCAGCTAACATCATCAATACCAGCTAACATCGTCAATACCAGCTAACATCGTCAATACAAGCTAACATCAATACCAGCTAACATCATCAATACAAGCTAACATCGTCAATACCAGCTAACATCGTCAATACAAGCTAACATCAATACCAGCTAACATCATCAATACCAGCTAACATCATCAATACCAGCTAACATCATCAACACCAGCTAACATCGTCAACACCAGCTAACATCGTCAATACAAGCTAACATCATCAATACCAGCTAACATCATCAATACCAGCTAATATCATCAATACCAGCTAACATCATCAACACCAGCTAACATCATCAACACCAGCTAACATCATCAATACCAGCTAACATCATCAACACCAGCTAACATCGTCAATACAAGCTAACATTATCAACACCACCTAACATCATCAATACCAGCTAACATCGTCAACACCAGCTAACATCGTCAATACAAGCTAACATCATCAATACCAGCTAACATCATCAATACCAGCTAACATCATCAATACCAGCTAACATCGTCAATACCAGCTAACATCATCAACACCAGCTAACATCATCAACACCAGCTAACATCATCAACACCAGCTAACATCGTCAATACAAGCTAACATCATCAATACCAGCTAACATCATCAATACCAGCTAACATCATCAACACCACCTAACATCATCAATACCAGCTAACATCATCAATACCAGCTAACATCATCAATACCAGCTAACATCATCAATACCAGCTAACATCATCAATACCAGCTAACATCATCAATACCAGCTAACATCATCAATACCAGCTAACATCGTCAATACCAGCTAACATCATCAATACCAGCTAACATCATCAATACCAGCTAACATCATCAATACCAGCTAACATCATCAATACCAGCTAACATCGTCAATACCAGCTAACATCATCAATACCAGCTAACATCATCAATACCAGCTAACATCATCAATACCAGCTAACATCAATACCAGCTAACATCATCAATACCAGCTAACATCAATACCAGCTAACATCATCAATACCAGCTAACATCATCAATACCAGCTAACATCATCAATACCAGCTAACATCATCAATACCAGCTAACATCATCAATACCAGCTAACATCAATACCAGCTAACATCATCAATACCAGCTAACATCATCAATACCAGCTAACATCATCAATACCAGCTAACATCATCAATACCAGCTAACATCATCGATACCAGCTAACATCAGCTAACATCATCAATACCAGCTAACATCATCAATACCGGCTAACATCATCAATACCAGCTAACATCATCGATACCAGCTAACATCAGCTAACATCATCAATACCAGCTAACATCATCAATACCAGCTAACATCATCAATACCAGCTAACATCATCAATACCAGCTAACATCAATACCAGCTAACATCATCAATACCAGCTAACATCATCAATACCAGCTAACATCATCAATACCAGCTAACATCATCAATACCAGCTAACATCATCAATACCAGCTAACATCATCAATACCAGCTAACATCAATACCAGCTAACATCATCAATACCAGCTAACATCATCAATACCAGCTAACATCATCAATACCAGCTAACATCATCAATATCAGCTACCATCATCAATACCAGCTAACATCATCGATACCAGCTAACATCAGCTAACATCATCAATACCAGCTAACATCATCAATACCGGCTAACATCATCAATACCAGCTAACATCATCGATACCAGCTAACATCAGCTAACATCATCAATACCAGCTAACATCATCAATACCAGCTAACATCATCAATACCAGCTAACATCATCAATACCAGCTAACATCAATACCAGCTAACATCATCAATACCAGCTAACATCAATACCAGCTAACATCATCAATACCAGCTAACATCATCAATACCAGCTAACATCATCAATACCAGCTAACATCATCAATACCAGCTAACATCATCAATACCAGCTAACATCAATACCAGCTAACATCATCAATACCAGCTAACATCATCAATACCAGCTAACATCATCAATACCAGCTAACATCATCAATACCAGCTACCATCATCAATACCAGCTAACATCATCGATACCAGCTAACATCAGCTAACATCATCAATACCAGCTAACATCATCAATACCGGCTAACATCATCAATACCAGCTAACATCATCGATACCAGCTAACATCAGCTAACATCATCAATACCAGCTAACATCATCAATACCAGCTAACATCATCAATACCAGCTACCATCATCGATACCAGCTAACATCAATACCAGCTAACATCATCAATACCGGCTAACATCATCAATACCAGCTAACATCATCGATACCAGCTAACATCAGCTAACAACATCAATACCAGCTAACATCATCAATACCAGCTAACATCATCAATACCAGCTAACATCATCAATACCAGCTAACATCAATACCAGCTAACATCATCAATACCAGCTAACATCAATACCAGCTAACATCATCAATACCAGCTAACATCATCAATACCAGCTAACATCATCAATACCAGCTAACATCAATACCAGCTAACATCATCAATACCAGCTAACATCATCAATACCAGCTAACATCATCAATACCAGCTAACATCATCAATACCAGCTACCATCATCAATACCAGCTAACATCATCGATACCAGCTAACATCAGCTAACATCATCAATACCAGCTAACATCATCAATACCGGCTAACATCATCAATACCAGCTAACATCATCGATACCAGCTAACATCAGCTAACATCATCAATACCAGCTAACATCATCAATACCAGCTAACATCATCAATACCAGCCAACATCACCACACGCCTCGCCAAAGAGAAGCAGTTCCAGCCATCACATTAGGGGTGAGTTAATTAAATGTTTGACCAAATATAACAAGGCTAATTTTTAAGTTGATAATTTTGCATGGCCCGCGAATGATGTTATATAAATATCCAAATGGCCCTTGGCAGGAAAAAAAAAGGTTCCCCACCCCTGCCACCTCCCGGCCTCTTCCGTGCACGGAGCTCATTCAGGCGAGGCGGTGTGGCCGGCTCGTTCGGTGCTCGGGGAGCGTAAACTGCCGCCGGGCAACACTCGGCTCTGTCTGCGGCGTGCAGGGAACATGGACAGACACCACTACGAGACGTTCGAGAAGTTCGGCAACAACACGTTCCTCCTTCACCTGGACAACGGACGCGGGTACGCGGGGGGGGGGTTAGAGGGACAGAGGGACATGTGAGCAGGTCGATAGACGGATGGATGGTAGGACAGAGAGACGGATGGACAGATGCATGGACGGACAGGTGAATGGATAGAGAGAAGTGTCGACGGAGGATTGGATGGACGGACATACGGATGGAGAGAGGGTCAAACAGATGGATAGGCTGTGTGGGTTGGTGGGTGAGTGGATGAGTTGGTGGATGGGTGAGTTTATGGGTGGGTAAGTTTGTACGGGGTGAGTTGATGCGAGACTGCCTGCATAATACCCCGCCCGTGTGTCTATGCCCCAGGTTCGGGAAGCACTCACATGATGAAATATCCATCCTGGCACCACTCATCCAGTGCTGCGTGTAAGTGAACATCTTCATCACCACCACCACCAGTGTTATCATCATCATATGTGTCGTCATCATCCTCGCCAGTGTTGTAATCATCATATGTGACGTCATCATCCTCGCCACTGTTGTAATCATCATCAGTGTCATCGTTATGATCGCCTCTGCCACATTCAACATCACCACTCGTTACGCTCATTGTCATCTCACCTTCAATCGATGTGAGCACCTCCATTTCCATCACGTGGAATACATCAATACATAGAGCGAGCGGTGGGGCAGTTGTTAACAAAACGCGCTGTGAATCCGGACAACACGAGTTCGATTCCGGACTGTGGTTAACATCGATGGCGATTAATATCTGGGCCTTCCCCCAGATTCACCAACCCACACTGACCATCGTGGTGAAGTATGGTCAAAAAACCCACATGACAGACACGGCTTGGGGGTGGGGGAGGGAGGCCTTCATATAGCAGTAGACAGATCGTGGGTCACCGTCAGTGTCTTATCACATCAATTAATTTCTCAGTGAACGCATAATTTTCATTGGTTTGGCTCGCTCGTATAGAACTGAAAAAGGTGCCACGTGACACGCATCAGGCAAAGCCAGAGGCGTCCCTAGGGTATGGCGAATCATCGGAGGGGGGGCGCCCGCCCCAGGCCCCGCACTTTGGGGGGCGTGGGGCACGCCTCGACGTCACGGTGTGAGATGTAATACTCCCGGTTTGTTCTGAAGGCGTCTGGGGGGGGGGCAGACGGTGTGGGGTTCGCCCCAGGCCCCGCACCTCCCCCCCAAATGGACAGCCCTGACCACACCCACAACTCTAGAGCTTCCGCCAGAGCAGTGGCGTTAAGCGAGCAGTTGCAAGGCTGCGCCTTAACTTTTTTTGTTATCATCACCATTTCACCATCGTCATCTTCTATGATGGTTCTTTCGGTAAAAAAAATACTTTCCCGAAAGAACCATAGAATATGATTTCCTGCAGTCACGAAGGTTTTCAGTCAAAATGTAACCATCATCATCGTCACCCCCCTCTCTTGATGACTGGGTAGCGCCCCAGGGGCTGCCAGTCATCTTTGCTGCAGAGGCACGGACGCTGCAACCGTGGTTACAGTAGAAACACGGATAACCGCAAACTTAACACATTAGTCAAACACGCGAATAATAATAAAGTATTTTTTTTCGGAGGGTGCAGTGATAACTTGATGGCGGATAATGAAGGTGGTGTGGTTTTGAAATCAATCTCGGATTGGTAGCCAGTCAGTGGCGTAGCTCTCGAGTGCACAGGCGGTGCAACTGCACCAGGGGCCCCGGGTCGGAGAAGCTCGAGACGCCGGGCTGCGAAGGCCACGGGGGATTGGAAAGAGATGGCCCAATGTCATCCCTTGCATTAGGGCCCAGAGTAATCACGCCACTTGCAAACCAATGGAGGGAATTGAGTATTTTGGCTGATCCATATTTTACAACCTACGATTTACAAGTTTTTTTTTAACCTCGTCCAGATTTAGGAGGGTCCTGCCACGATGGCTAGGAGATGTTAACTACCTCGCTTGGTATACAGGAGGTCGTTGGCTCGCTCCCGACCCTGACGCCTGTTGTATATTTGTAGTTTGCGCGTCTCGCTCCCCGTGATCGCGTGGATTTATCTCCAGTTCTTACAGTTTTCCCCTCCACATTTAGAAACGTGCGTTGTAAGTATTTGGCTGCTATAAATTTCCACACGATAAGCCAATTCGTTGAGCTATCATTTGTGGACAGGTCGTTTCTGAAAAAGGAGCTACATAGCTCAGTGGGCCTTACCTGGTGGTACCTGTTTAGTCGGAGTTTGCATGTTTCTCTCCCCGTGGTCGAGTGGATTTTTCTCCAGGTCCTCTGGTTTTCCCTCCACATTCATGAACGTCCATTTAGAGCAGGGGTGGGAAACGTCCGGCCCGCGGGCCGTATGAGGCCCGCGAAATTATTTGGTGTGGCCCTGCCAAGGCAACCGCAGGCGAGACTCGAAATTCAATAAATCCAGGAGCAAACCTGGGAAAGCAGTTGCGAGTAGCAACAACATCATCAATACCAGCTAACATCATCAATACCAACTAACATCATCAATACCAGCTAACATCATCAACACCACCTAACATCATCAATACCAGCTAACATCGTCAATACCAGCTAACATCAATACCAGCTAACATCATCAACACCAGCTAACATCATCAATACCAGCTAACATCATCAATACCAGCTAACATCATCAATACCAGCTAACATCATCAATACCAGCTAACATCATCAATACCAGCTATTATCATCAATACCAGCTAACATCATCAACACCAGCTAACATCATCAATACCAGCTAACATCATCAATACCAGCTAACATCATCAATACCAGCTAACATCATCAATACCAGCTAACATCATCAATACCAGCTATTATCATCAATACCAACTAACATCATCAATACCAGCTAACATCATCACCATACGCCTCACCAAAGAGAAGCAGTTCCAGCCATCACATTAGGGGTGAGTTAATTAAATGTTTGACAAAATATAACAGGCTAATATTTAAGTTGATAATTTTGTATGGCCCGCGAATGATGTTATATAAATATCCAAATGGCCCTTGGCAGAAAAAAGGTTCCCCACCCCTGATTTAGAGTACACGTTTTAATGTTTAGATGTGCGAGGGAGCATCACTCGATCTCCGTGCTGATGGAAGCAGATGGCGATTAGTCAGTCCATGGTATGCCACCACCTCGACGCCCGTGAGAAGGGAGTTTTCACAACATCCGTGTGTGCTCCACCAACCCCTGCTTCTGCCTCCACAGTGCTGGATAACCGGCGTTGAGTTGCTTTGTCCTTTGTACAGTGCTTGTGCACTTCTGACAACGGAGCAGTATCGTCAACAGATAATGTGTAGTAGTAGTAATATTAGTAACAGTCATATCATCATCATCACTGCCACCCTCCCCCGCTCCCCCCACCCTCCCTCTCTCCCGCCTCCCCCACCCTCCCGCTCCATCCTCCCGTCCCATCACCCTCCCGCTCCACCCCCTCTCCCCCTCCTCCACCCACCCGTGCCCCCCCCTGCCTCCACCCCCCGCGGGCAGCGTGCGTCGCTCCACGCTGTCGCGCCTGTCGCTGGTGTCGCGCGCGCCGCTGCTGCTCAGCTCGCTGATGCGCGAGAGCGGCGCCGCCGACCCCGTGGCCCCGCTGCTGCCCGAGGGGCACCTCGCGGCTCTCGACCGCCGCGTCGCCCTCGTCCTCTCCGCCGCGAGCGACTGCCTCAAGAGGCACGGCCGAGCGAGCGTCTTCCGCTACGGCGCCGCCGCCGCCGCCACCTCCGCCGCCGTCACGGAGAAGATGAAGAGGGGACGGCGGCACAAGAAGCAGCAGAAGCAGCAGCAGCAACAGCAGCGAATTCACGAGTGGGACAAGGCGCCTAAGAATGTAGCGCGAAGATAGCGCTGGTGGCGGTGGAGCAGCGTCGACCAGGGGCGGGCAGCAGTGACAGGGGCAGCAGCAGCAGCAGGAACAAACTGTTGCACCGGCAGCAGAAGTAGCAACAGCAGCAGCAACAAGAATAGAGAGTAACTGCTGCATCCTGCAAAGCAGCACAACCAGCAGCAGCAGCAACGGTAATAACAGATGCGACTGCAGCAGAAGCAACAGCAGCAGCAACTGCTGCCTCTGCAACAGCAACAGCAGCAGGAGCAGGAGCAGCTATGGCCCCGACATAGCTCGTGAGCTGCTCGGGCGATACGGTAGCAATAGTAGCGTACGCGTGCGGCATCAGCCACAGCATTGTCAACACGAGCAGCAGCAGTAGCAGCAGTGACGGCAGCAGAGACAGCCACGTGCTCAACAGTGGCAACAGCCACAACATTCTCTGGCAGCAGGAGCAACAACAACAACATAATCAGCAACAGCAGCAGCAGCAGCCACGTTCCTTAGAGTAGCAACAGCAGCAGCAAATCCAAGGGCGTCAAAAAATAAGTCACGATTGTTGTCACTCGATTCTCGATTTTGTTTTGGTGTTTTTTTGTCCTCTCCTGCAACGTTGTCCCGATCGTGCCACCGGTGACGCGTCACGAGCCTTAGAATCCCATCGCAGGGCGGTCCGTGGAAGCGGATATCACGGAGCTAATTCTGAGATCACACACTCGGGAAGCGAGCACTCTGCCACTGTTGCGGGAGTAACGTTCACCACACGACGGCCAAACCGACAGTGTCACTCCAATGACGTGCAACATCAAAAGACATTGCGCGTGCGTGCGTGCGTTATGAGGCCACCAATTCGCTACACTTGAAAAACTCGCCTTAGTCACAGAAAGCGGCTGACACCTGCATTCGAACTCAGGTCTTTTAGCGTTGACGGCTTAGCGTCTCCCACCTCAGCGTTCTCCCGGCCACGTGAATTTCGTGTTTCAAATTACGTGGCCGTTATTTTTACTCTATTTAATCTTAGGGCGGGTCTCGGGGGTCGAGTGTCCACCCTGTCGCAGATTCATGATCTGGCAGAGGGTTGGAGGCGTTGGTGAGGTGCGGTGGTGATGACTTCTCGATCTTTAAAATAAAACCTCTGTTGAGCTGTCTGGGTCTATACTGTGTCTACATTAGAGGGGTGTAACGATGCACTTTGCGTATCATTTATTAGCTTGGGCTTGATCAATAATTTTAGTTTTTTGGGATTCGGATCGTCCAAGTGTCCTAACAATGCCAAATGTTGCGTCGTACACCCTCCACCCGGCATAGCCAAAGAAATCAAGTGCTCACGTGAACAAACGTTACCACTTTACAATTGCTTTTCGTTTGATCACCCCGGTGTAGTGGAGGGTAAAATCCACACGCGTGTGAACGATTTGATTCGACGTATCGCTGGTCGAGTTCAATCTTTTTTTTTGCTTGGTTTGCTCATGCCTCGTGACACCCACTGCACGTGACTCCTGCAACCACTAGTGGCCGCTACATTCGCCACGGTCTTTTGTTTCAAAACAATTTCAAATAAATCGATTCTGGATTCGAATTTCGACAGTTCGCTGGGAGTGAATCGTTACACCCTGGTTCGTTAGGTTGCAACTATTTCTGTCATTAAGAACGAAAGTGGCAATCCCATCTTATCATCATCATCAAGCCATTGCTGCTGCTGCTGTTTCACTCTGACCGCGCCTATGTAGCGCGTACTGCTGTACCTGGGACCATTGCCTAATCGCAGACGGAACAGTCCGGAACGATGTTCCAGGAATGAATGAACTGCATGATTGATGTCTTCTTCGCATACGCGATGTCTTTACACGTGAACTAAAAATAAAGTAATTTCTTACACGACCCGTCAGCCGGACGGGCATCTTCCTCGGGAGTGCACGATTTCAGCAGCATTGTTTCAAGACAAGCAAACTCTGAACCGGTTTTGACATGCAGTGTCTCATCAGCAGACTTGCTTGAATCAATGCTGGTGACCTGCCGATGTTAGACAGGGCGAGGATAATGTGGTCCTGGTTCCAGGAATTAGTTTGGCTTCATTGGTAACGTCTTGTTCATCCGCTCTATAAGTTACACCATTGTCCCAGGCGCGAGCCACGTTTGCTAAATCATACAACGGACAGGTGAGTCCCGTTGGACAGGTAGGGATGGAGGGAGGGGTACGTGCAGAGGGGGGCACGCAGGAGGGGGGGGGGGGAGTTCAGTTCCGCCTTTGTCTCCCCAGTGGCGATGTTTACACAGCACCAGGTACTCATTTGACGCTGAGTCGACCTAGGGGATGCCCTACACCCACACACACACACGTCCATTAAAAATGTATCCAATGACTCATTCCCCAGCATGACAGGTGGATCGAGGATGGAGGGTGCGGGAGGATTCCTTTTTGGAGAACACTTCGAGCCCGCCCCACGCTTGTGGGAAGGAGCGAGTCACGGTCGATGATGCATCGTGAATTAATTAGTCAATCAACCCCATTGCGACAAATTGTCCCCGGATCCACCGATTTGTGCTGTTAGCGAGCATCTTTGAAAGCCGGAACGGCACACAAGGGGGTGGGGGGCCCGCACCACGCCCGGCGGCCTTTGTCTCTCTAGTGGCAATGTTTTTACACATCGCACCAGGTACTCATTTGAACCTGAGTCGACCTAGGGGAGGACCAGGACCGGTTCAGATAATCGTCACTGGTGTTGATTGTGAACGGGAATCGAACTCGTGTCACTGAGTTTGTAGCGCAGTGCACTGACCGCTACACTACCGCTCCCCATTACACAACAACAACAACCGCCATTCGCCACTAAGTGGCGGTGACGTCACCCCGACGCTTGTGCCAGACTGTGGGCACGTTGAGGCCACGTGAAGTGTCGAATGCCCGCTGGCAGGAGGTCACGGGGCAGACCCAGGTGCTACGGATCGACTGAATGAGTGACTGGCTGATGCACCACCTGTGCTCCCTACTGTGCCAACTTGCTATGCTTTAGCCACCCGGCGCTCCGCTCGTTGTTGTGAGCGTGGCTCCTCCCCCCTTCGTTGTTGTTGGAGGGCAACTGCCCCCAATTGCCCAGTAGGCCGATATTGACACCGCTGGTACCAGTCATCGGCAAGTCCACTGTCACTCGACTGATTCGGAGTGAGACATCTGCTGTCAAAACGGAGCAGGTCATGAGCACACTGCCCAGATGTAACAAAATACCCAAGCAGGTGCTTAGTTTTGGTGGAGCTGATGGTAAGTTTTGTTGGAATTCTCTACACCTCTGCTGTAGCAGACGGACAGAAAATATGGCATCTGTGCAGGACCGCCCTTTCCTGAAACCGCATTGGTGCTCCGCAAGCCTCTCCTCAGCGTGCCTGGCATGGCGATGTTGAATAGTCCTTGCCAGGACCTTTGCCGGCACACTGAGGAGTGAGATGCCCCGGTAGTTGTTACAGACTGTGCGGCCCCCCTTAAAAAGGGGGACCACCAGGGCATCCTTCCAATCCTGCGGAACCCGTCCAGTGGTCCAGACTGTTGTTACGATGTCATATAGGGCAGTCTGTGCACAAACGCCACCCTCCCTCAGCATTTCGCTTGGGAGATCATCTCTGCCCGGTGCCTTTCCTGGTCTCAGGCTCTGGATCGCCTTCAGTACTTCTTCAACAGATGGCACCTCAGCCCGCCACTCACAGGGGGTGACTTCTTCGTCCAATATATGAGGCACCGCAGCCTCAGAAGGGTCATCCCCACTTTGTCCTACGATGTTTTCCAGGCTGAGGGATTTCCCCTCCCCCAGGACCTCACAGAAATGCTCAGCAAATCTGCAAACCTTTTCCTGGGTGTCGGAGATTGGATCACCATTCTTTTCCCTTAATGATGGTAATAGGTGTAGCGCTTCAGATTACTTTTTATGGAATTAAAAAGCGATTTGTGATCGCGGGCCATTGAGGCAGACTCCATCTCCTCAGCAACCCGCGACCACCACCCATCCTTGCAGCGCCTCACAGCTCTCCGAACCTCCGAGCGATGGCTGCGGTAAGCCTCCTCATTCTCTGACGTGGGATGCTGTAGACGATGAGAGTGGGCCTGTCACTTTTTCTCAGCCAGCCTGAACACCTCCTCTGTCAGCCAGGGTCTCTGAGGAGGTCTGGACCGCGTACCCAAAGCAGTCATTGCAGCTGCATGAGCCACAGTCCTAAACCTCGCCCATTTCCCCTTGACATCATGAAGAGTGGGGGACGATGCCAACCCCAGCCGCAAGCGATGATAAAATTATCGCTTGCAACTTTCATCAGCTAGCTGAGACAATGCCACTATGGGTTTGAATGTGGTCCTGGGTGTACACCCACCACCGGAGTGGAAGAATGGCAGGCACATCTTACAGATGACAAGTCGATGGACAGTGGGCAGATCAGCTCCACGGTAGGGCCTGGTGTCAAGGACATGGGCCCACATCCGCTGTTCCGTCACTATGTAGTCCAGCAGATGTTCTTGATTGGACCTGGCATGCATCCATCATGTTGTGTGGATGCGCCGATGCCGGGACAGAGTGTTGGTAATTACAAGGCCATGTGCTGCACACAAATCTAGCAGCCTCCTACCGTTGTTATTGAGCTGATCTGGCCCATGTCTTCCAATCACTCCAGACCAGGTCCTAGCATCCTGACCAACTCGGGCATTAAAGTCACCCAACAAGATGACTCTATCCCGAGGGGCCACTTTAGCCAGCACCATTGACAGGAGGTCGTAGAAGGCATCTGACTCATCGGCCTTGCCTGCATCCCTCCACGGATGTTCATCTTTGGTAGGGGCATAAGTAACCACGACCACCACTCATCGCCTCTGGTTGATGGGAAGGCGAGCCCAAAGTAGATTGGGGCTTACAGCTTCATTCACCTCACCGCCACTCTCCCATGCCTCCTTCATTCTTTTGTTCAGAAGAAGAGCAACTCCCTGTTGTTTGGCAGTCTCCTGCCCCGAGTAGAGGACTTTCCACCCCTCATGGCGGCAGGAGCCAGAGCCGGACCACCGGATCTCCTGAATACCACAGAGATCCAGGCGGTACCGGTCCAGCTCCCGATAGAGGAGTGGCAGCCTCTCCTCCGCAGTGAGCGTTCGAACATTCCACGTGGCCATCCGTAGTGGCTTTTTGTTGTTTCTGGAGGAGCCCCGAGGGTAAAAATTTAGTCTCCTGGCTCCGCCAAATGGGGTTTGGCCAGGAGACGTCATAGACACCTGTCCCCCCGGGGCCTCCGGCACAAGCTTAATACGTTTTTTGCATCGTAATTTAGTGGTAGTTAAATTAAGGTGGAGGGGTTACCAGCCCCTTGCACCCGTCCAGAGCCCCCATTTGGCCGCTGTGGTGGTTACAAACGCCATGAAGGGAAAGGGACAATTTAAATTGGCCATCCCTCCAAGGTACTGCCCATCACAACATTGCCGTCCGGCACCACGAGGAGGTAGGGGGTTGTTTTTGCCATTACATACACACACGCGCACACACACAGGCACCCACGTGCATTCTTGTGTAAATGCGCCCGCATGCACACGCCCGCATCCCATTACGGACCTGATCTCTGCACGAACCCGCAAGCGGCCGTCAGTGAAACAGACCCAAAGTCCGTGAAATGTCACGGTTTGGTCCCCTTCCAAATGCACGAGTCTTCCTCTGACCTTAATGAAGATTAAGCGGATAGTTTCTTGTTTGGTTATTTATTAATATCATTATTAAATCCACGGCAATTCGATATCTCCACCGGCTCCAAATTCAAACACGGGTCACGCAACATCCATGGTTGTACCGTACTTCTATGCTTTCATATCTGTGATGCCAGGCTTTTGCCTTCTACACTGACCGGCGTGATTAAATCGGTCAACCGCCAAGGACCTCATGGGTCGCGAGGCGGGTGTCTCATCCAGCAGTGGAATGACGGAAGGGCCGAACGGGTATCCCTCGATTCACGGAACAAATACGTTCGTGAATTGTTGTTTTCCGTATAGCGAACCCTATTTCCCCATTGACTTCTGTTATATAATTGAAGATGCGTTCCGACGGAAAATATCTCGGCATGACATGCACTCTCGGACAAAGAGCAGACCGTGCATTGATTGTTTTTCCCTCGCCCCCCCCCCCTTAAAATATGATTTAGAGATTTAAAATTCGTAAATGCGAACCTAACGCAACATATGTGGAATTCGTCCCCTCAGTCATAAGTCACGCTTTTTTTTGCGAAATTCCGGAAAGCGAGGGATGACTGTACACATAGGTACGCTTCGTGCTTTCTCTACCTCATCAGACGCAGACCGTGCCCGAATCCCACGTATGCATGAGTAAATACATCGCAGAAAACACGTGTGCCCGTATCAGAAATCTATGAACGTACCCATTAACCTGAAGCACGCGTGTTCCCTATGCAGGTATGCATGGGCGACGCGCGTACGGCTCGTGACAGATGAATTCTACAAATGTGTGTCGTGTGAGTCACTGAGGCGCGTTGCGGCAGCCGAGGCGAGGCGCTGCACTTGCACAAAAGATCGCCGAGAGTTTGAAAATATAACGTACATTTATCAATCAGCCACGGTCAATCCACTGCTGGATGAGGGCCTGCCCCCAAAGTCGCAGCCGCCACCTCTCGCGATCCCGAGGTGTCAGGATCCACTTCGCAGCGGCACACGAGGCGATTTCGTCACCCCCCCCCCCCCACCCTGTCACCTGGGGTCGACGATCCGTCTCTCTCGGACAGCACTACGTGCCCTTATCCACGCGCGCGTGTCTACGTGCGAATGTGTGCGCTGAACTCCTCTTTCGCACCGTGCGTGGCCCAGCGTGCTCATCGGAGGTGCGGGGGAAGGACAACAAATTAAACACACAGAC